TAATTTCATTGCAATTTTTTATTTTTCAATATTATGTATACACGTATTAATAATAAAAATCTTATATAATTTTAATGAATTAAAATTTTATTACAAAGCAAGGTTCATTTAACTAAAAAAGTGAGGCTTTGTTTCGATCGTTATATTAAATGTATATAAGAGCTACCAGTATATCAGTTTGATGCTTCATCGAAAAATAGTCGATTCGGAAAATTGAGTAATTAATTAAATTGCTATGAAAGAAAATAATAGAAATGCAAAATATCTTGAGAAGAATCTACATGACTGACGATAAATTTTAGGTGGACGGTCGTCGGCAGTGCCGGAGTCGGTGCACAAATTAAGACCGGGTGATATCGATGTTATTGCCGCGATGGGCGATTCTCTTACGGCTGGAGCTGGAGTTTTTGCAAGCAGTGTGTTCCAAATCATGATAGAAAACAGAGGCGTTACTGCGGCCGGCGGTGGCCAAGGCACGTGGAGAGAATATCTAACTCTTCCCAATATAATTAAGGTAAAACGATCAAGTTTTGCGGCATATGTATATTATAGCGTAATATAATTTTTGTTATTAAAACAGAAATAAGAAAAATATATTTGAACTCCCGCTAATTAATACAAAAATAACTGAAGATTAAGAGGCCATGGAAGTTAGCGCGGTAAACAATGCGCAAATTAAAAAACTTAATATAAAAAAATATTTAAAAGATAAAAAAATAAAATTACATAACAAACTGTTCGGCAGATTTTCCAGCCATCCTCAGCAAATACAATACAAAAATTTGAAATTTAGATACGTTGATGTATTAAGAAATTAAAATATATAATTATGAAAATTCGAAGCTCCGCATAAAAAGCGTTATCAATGTGTAAAATGTCAATCAGTAAATAGTGTCACAGTCAACAAGATAAATTAATAGGTATAATAAATTAAATAAATTAAAAGTTAAAATAAATTAAATAACAAAGTAGCTTGCTACGTAACGGACTTAAGTTCAGAGTCAACGAAACGAATTAACTCCCCATGGCCCCTTAATCCTCAGTTACTTTTATTATTATTGAATAGGTTGCAACGTGCAAGATACAATAGATGAGAAATAAAGATTTGAAATAGTAATAGTATAAATAGATCAATTATGGTAATTAAGTTACTGGACTATCAAAAAAGTTCTGGATTGCCCTTTAAAAAAACGGTTTTTACACACTAATTTATTAAAAAACAATGAGTTACATTCCTCAAAATAAAGACTATCATGTTCAACAATTAGCTCTAACCAATCTCGTTCGACTTCTTTTATAATGCAAGTGCTTTGCTCAAAAAAGGTCGGCCGGAATGGGACTTGTTTTCGAGGTCGTAGAAACCGGATTTATATAGCATGAACCTTAGTTGGTTACTATTTTTGTAATTTCATTAATTTTTTTGACTGCGCCTCTCGCAGATAGGCCTTTCCTTTAATAATAACACGTGTGTCAAACTTTGATCGCAACATTCCAATCGTCATCTCAACAAATGGTGTAATCTTACTGATACAAATTTAGCACGATATTACGAAAAAACTTCAATAAATATAGAATAAATATTTTGAAGTGATTAAAAACTTTTTCGATAAACCGGTATAATCAAATGTAATTAAATGTTTAAAATGAGGTTTAAGTGCAATCTAATATTCACATAATTATTTTTATTTATTTTAACATTCTGAATTGCATTAATGTACGGTAATATAAAATCATCAATGTGCTATTAGAGAATTATATGTTTTGGTTATCATATGCACGTATTTATATATAAAAACATATTTTTCAGTTTTCGCGTATTTCGTAAGTTTAATTTTCGACCATTTAAAATTTATTACCAATTACACCAATAGTATTCCATAAGTACACGATATTCCAGACGATATTACACATTTTTTAATAGCAAATTGTTTGAGCACAGAACTTCGAGTTGATTGTTCGTCAGTTCTACAGTGCTCTTACAAACGGAATATCAATGAATAACTTGAAAAATCGCCGCTATTAGAATTGTTTGTCTCTTCGCGACTTTTTTGCGTAAGAAATGTGACGCGCGATTTATCATTATACAATAAATTTTGAGATATGCCGGTGCCATGGCAAAAAAAAATAATAAGGCACTCGGCATTTTCTTCGCAATACGTAATTCAACATCCTTTACGACTCAAAGAAACATCATCAAGAAGGAATTGTTGCAACAGAATTTTAGAATAACATTACCATAACATCACATCTTCGGCCAATGTTGGATTGCCTTTTTATGGACTTTCGTTTACGATTGCATTGGATCTTCACGAGACGCGTGTCTCGTATTTTAAACATTATATATTAAGCGTGTAAACTGCAATTTCATACCTCTTAAACTTTCAAGCAATGGATTATCGATTCGTCATCGACGAATACAAAATCAATCATCGATCATTCTTAATTGTAAAATATTGTTACAGGCATTCTAGAAGCGTTTTTTTTTTGTAAAATAATTTGCGTTTTATCTTCCTAAAATAACTTCTTTTTTCAAAATTCGTATTGTTACATAATCACATTATATAATAAAAGAGAAAAATATATTATTTTATATACCAGAACATTAAGCAATCCGCGAGCGAAAGTTAATAATTCAGGACGTAATATCGGTTAATGGAATCATTATCATAATCATCATTAAGCAATATTTAAAATTATGACCTCTTTACCCGCTCTCTAATTTCTTTCCTCATTCTAAAAAATGTCTTACCGAAAATTATTTTTTTTTCTTTTCATTTATTTTATATTAAATAATCCTAGAGAGGCTGTGATTATATAAAATCGTGATTTTGGTTTATCACAATTTTCAAGATTTTGCGACTTGATTGAACAAATAAATGGAAAAGGGTTCTGCTGAACGAACACTAACAATAAGTTAGACGAGGAAAGTTACGTTTACGAGAAGAGCAACGTAGCGCTAAAAAGACTGATCTAACAATACGCGTGCGCGTGTGCAAATTAATCATCCATAAATTTTCAATACATTAGGAATTCAACCCCAATTTGATAGGATATGCACTGGGCGACTCTTTGACGACCCACAAGGCGTCGCAGTTGAATGTTGCCGAATCCGGCGCCGAGTCCGAGGATATGATGTATATGGCGGAGATACTAGTCAAGAGGATTAAAAACGACCCGCGGATAGATCTGAAGAAACACTGGAAGGTTTGTTGCGCTCGATAAATTCAATTTTGTTGCAATACAAAGAGAGAAATGGCGGACAACATATGTATTTCATCATTTCTTTGTAATGTATCAAGCTAATTACAAATCACGTTTTTCAGTTTTGAACTGACTTTTTCTGCGGCAAAAATTTAACGGAGCGCTTTATCGTCTGTCATAATTTTTTAGTTTTTTCTCCGTGATTTTCGTTGATACGCATGTATTTCCAATGATCATACATCTTATTTTCAATTAACGACTATAGTGCCGTCAAAAATTCTACGCTCTTATTTGTTAAAGATATATGTATATATGTATATATATATTGACGATAATAATGTCTGATTTGCAGTTCATCTCGCTAATGATTGGAGCAAATGACTTTTGCACTGAATTTTGTTGGGTACCGTCACCTTGGTCAGTTCTAGAAAAGCACAAGGCCGATCTACTTTACGTTTTACGGACTCTAAGGGATAATTTGCCGCGGACTTTTGTGGCGTTAATTCCGCCACCAAATTTAAAGAACTTGGTCGACACTCGTAAAGGAAGGCAGTCGTTTAGTTGTTTTCTTACTACGGATTTCGAGTGCTCTTGCCTGTTTGGTCTCTCATTTCGACGTTTCAGACCCATATACTACGAAGTTATGCGACGGTAAGCGTAATAAAACGAAAAGTAGTTCAGACTGTCTAGAGTATATTGTTTATAAACATATTAATAATTTTAAACTAATAATTAAAGTACATTGTTTATAAAAATATTGATAATTTCAAATTAATAATTACTTTCGATAAGCCATTTTAATTTAATCTTAAATTAAATTATCAGGCATGCGACATTAAGTTAAGAATATTTGGCAATGTGCAACATTATGACTTAATTTCATTTGGTTTCGACGAAATTATTATATATATTATGTATATTGTTATTATCGTTGATAACGAGATATGGATTGATATTAAAAATTTCGAAACATATTTTAGGTGGCAAGAGCAAGAAATGGAAATCGCTACTTATCCAGAATTCCAAAGAGACGACTTCGTAGTTGTAGCCCAACCTACTCTAATGAATTTAAGTATCCCACTTGCGTCAGATGGATATACTGATATGACATTTTTAAGCAGCGACTGTTTTCACATTAGTCAAAAGACCAATGCCCGTTGTAAGTCTACTAAAATTTCCTTAAGAAGAGTTTCGCTGATAATTAGATTAATAGTTAAAAAAAACTGATCTCTTATACTTGTAACGCATTATTTGCGTAAGATGCGCTTTATTTCTCAGTTCGGCATTTCTAAATCATCATGATCTGTCATTATGATGTAATGATGTGAGAAAGTGTAATAATATCCAGTAAAAACGTGTTATCCACGAATATTAACCAGTTTGACCAGTTAGACCAGTCCAGACGCAAAATTTAGGTTGCCGAATTGTAACGATGCTATCAGCGTAGTTTCTTTCGCTTGGCCATTAGCATTTTTAATTAGTACAAAAGAAGTAACGTGCAAATTTGATAGATACGTGCAAATACGTCTCATTCATCAACTAGAAATAATTTTAAACTAAATTAAAAATGCCTTGCATCAAGAACATTTTTAATTATTCAGAAATAATCCAAAAAATGACTTAAGAAATTTCTTCCATTTTTTGTAGATGCGAACTCTTTGTGGAACAACTTGCTGGAACCAGTAGGTGCCAAAACGGAGACATGGGACGAACCTTTTCGTAAATTTTACTGCCCAACGCCAGAGAGGCCCTATCTTGCTACAATGTTAAATTCGTAGCAACAAAGTGTCACTACTTGAAACTAACGCTGCGACTCAAACGAGAAATATTGGCACTTAACAAAAGAGAAAGTATCGATAGTGTTATTAGGTCATCAATCATAGCTGCCATGCCGTGATCTTTAAATAGAGAGTGTCAATTATTTAAGCGTAAAGCGTAAATAACAAAACACCATGATGTGTTTATTAATCCTTTGAACAGAAAGAATACGGATAGAAAATTATGCCGATTACTCCACGGTGAAACAGTTAAATAATATTAATTTGTCAAATACTTTATTAGCTGCCATTTTCTATAGATTTAATGCATGTAAATATATTTATATATTAAATCTAATTGTATAAAATATATACTCAGGATTATATTGTAAACTGCAATATATAGGTGTAAATGATGCATTTAATACTATTTTCGAAAAATAGTTCAGTGAAAGAGAATTTTTTGAATAAATACATAAATGAGTTTCGCCCTCTTCTTTTACGTATGCGATATGAAATTGTAAACGAGTTTGAGAGGCAAAGTTTTATCGTAACATCAGCTGTGACCTCTTATTCACTCTTACTCACGTATCTTGTCTACCGTATAGGAATACGAAAGAATGCAGGGGGAACCGTAAATATGGTCATCGCACAAGTGGGGATCACATCGATGGGCACGGGAGCGAGTCTTTTCTTCGACACGCTTCATTCATGTTTAGTAGTGTCATCGAGTAGTGCCGGAGCGAAGAGTATCGGCCTCTTCCCCGTAATCCGATATCGCCGAGTTTTTACACTTCGAAAGCATAATTCATTAAAAATTATTTGGTGCGATAATTTGGTGCTTAAATAATTATCTACTCGGTTTCTTGCGTGAAAAACGACACCGCCAGTTTCTACGTAAAAAGAAGGGAAATGTCAGTTATCGAATTAAAAGCCTTATGTCTTGGAGGGCCAAAGTTTAAGTGCGAGAATTACATCTAGTGAAAAAAAAATATATATATAATGTTTGACGAAAAATATAATTAAGATGGAAAATAACAACAGTTACGTTGTAATTAATTGATCTTTTGATTGTGTAACGATGCGGAATAAGAAATTATCGGAAAGTAAGGTATATTTATACACATATATATATTTACATTTTTTATACATTTCTCATCTCAAATAGCACAGAGAGTTTAAATAAAATTCAGTCGTATGTTAGCAATTAAATTCTTTTTCTAGAGGCACTGAAAAAGAATTCTTTTTGAACTCTCTGTACTATCTGAAACATTCGCCGCGTAAATTATAAGTAGTATGTGTCGTAATATTTATAAATTGAGTTTTTATTACATAGTATTTATTAAAAAGAAGTATTGAATTTAATTAATATTATTAAAAATTTTTTTAATTATATTTGATTCGCGGAGAAAGATTCTTTTTCTTAAATGTACACGCATGTCTGCTGACAAGTAAAACGTTTCCTACGCATCCGCGTATCCGTGTACACAACCCAATATTCTTATGATGTTGTCCCTACTCTTTTTCGAGTAACGACCGACAAATTGCATTTTCTAAAGGTGTGAAGAATGATTTATGAAAATGCCCAGGGGGCTGGGACGCGAACTTAGACACTAGCGAAAGTGTGCCTTACGTCTCTTAAAAGGGGATTCCGTAAAGCGACGCTTTCAAAGCCTTTGTCAACTCTTTCGATCTTTTTTTTACCTTTGCAAAATTATGCGAAAACATTGTTCGTCCGTTCATTTCCGTTCGTACATACATTCCCGAGTGAACGTCGTTTCTTTTTTTTTTGTTTTTTGTTTCTTGCGAGAACAGTTATTATTAGTATATTACTATATAATTAATGATGTAAGCCAGAATGTGACGTAATTTAAAATGAAATATGCGAGTTTAATGCCTTTTTTGATCAAACTGCTTATATAGGATCAAATCAAATTTCGGGCCAAGGCACCGGCAGACATTCACTTTCTCCAAATCATAGATAACGAAGCTAACGAGACTAAAGAGGACTACGAAACGATTACGGCTGTTGCAATATCGCTGCGAAGAGAAATTATTTTTTTTTTAATCTTTAATTATCTTATGTCGTAATTAACGAAAGGCAAGACACCGTATCATAATCTCTATTCCAATCTTATTGTCGATATGAAAATAATATACAAGTCAATATAAAAATAATATACGAAAAAAAATTTATTTCTATTTTTCTGGATTTATAACAAGATCAAAAAATTAATAAAGCAAGTAAAAATTTTTTTTTTATTTTAATTAGCATTTTTATCATATTTCAAAAATGTAATTAAAAATATTTAAAACAGTTTTGCTGTAGACTTTTGCGTTTAGAAAGAATACAGAACGAGATTGTACCGCAAGTGAAAAAAACCTGTAACATGTAATTTTTTTGTTTTTATATCTATTTAGCGAGATTAGTCGGGAAATTGTCCGTCGCTCGAAGGGTTATGCGAGATTAAACAACTCTCTACGTCGCGTTGGGCGCCGTTAAATAAACGAGAATCTGGTCGCGGCTCTATCGATATGACTCGCTGTATGTGTGTACGTAACTAACGGTCTGCATGTGTGTACGTCAAAGTTTGCAGTTCTCTTCAGTCGGAGACGCGGAAGATCGGTTGGAGACGCTCGCGTTGTAGGATTGGAGGAAACGCGCCGATGGCGAGCGGAAGTCTCGTTCGACCGAGTCAAAGGCCGAACAAGATCTTCCAACATGGAATGATCACGTCAAGTGCAGGAAAGTCTGAAGAAAATTGAATTTTCTTCGGTAGAGAATTTTTGAAACGCTCGCCAATTTTTGAACAGCAAGAATTATGAGAGTTGAAATAATTTGCTTGCTTCTGGTCGTCGCTCGTATCCACCCGGGCAAATGCGATGTCTTCATGGACTTTTTGCGCAGTGTATTTCAAGGGGGAAGGGTAAGTTGTTATTGAAATCGCGGAATTAAGATTTCAGCTGAAAGCTGAATTTTCATTGATTTTTGATATTTTTCTCTTTTCTTTTTCAAATAGTATCGTTATAGCGCGCATTTTTTAAATATATAATCTCATATTAATGATAATTAAATAAATATTAAAATTAAAATAAAATAAATAAAAACTTTATTATGTGAATAAAAAATATTAAAGTTATTCGCAATGCAGAGAAATATGCGGATATAAATTCATATACATTTAATAGCAAAGTCATGCGAGAAAACAAGTTTATCTCGGTAGGTACATAATGTTAATTTCCGCGTAAACGGAAGTGAGAGCTATCAGTCCTGCAATTCCTCACAAATTCAGCAGCTCTGGTTGACGGGTATTTTATTGCAAAAAGATTACCGAAAATATTTTAGCATGCAGGAGTACGGTCGCCAATGCGCGTCCGCACTACACGAGAAATCGCACGTGATTTGCGAGTCAAAATCAGGCCTTGTTTCACGCGAACGCTTTGTAATTTCTCGCCAGATTCGTAGAAACGATTTCACAGATACGAATGATATATGAACGCGATATATTTTTCTGTCAAAATAAACGGAATAAATCTCACGCGCTAATTTCGTAAGAAACGTGTAAAAGTATAATGTTACGTACGAAAATCATTATACGTTCTGAACGTTACGGCGCCAACTGCCAGGTGCCATTGAAATTTAAAATTATTATTAATAAAAGTTAGCTAATGGGAACGCATTACAACGTAAAAGAAGTGTTTAACATTACGTGAAACCAGCAGGTGCGGACAATTCGAAAAGAAATACGCTTTGCATTCCGAGTAATCCGGAGAAAGGCCGGAACATTTCTTTTCGTCGGCCTTGTGACCCGCCGGTAAGACCCTCTGCCGTGGCGGATGTGTTCAGGGTCGATTTTTTTAACACATTTAAATTCCTATAAACTACACGTCTTCATAGTTTTTTTTTTCAAATTTCCAATCTTCATTTCGAAATATTTATTTCGAAATATTTATTTCGAAATGACGAAATCAAGATTGGAAGTTTGGAAAGCACTATTGAAAGGAAGTGCCGCTCTGCCGTTTCCTTCATAAAAATTCAACACGGAATAGACATTAGGAATTCATAGTGTGTGTAGCAAAGCCGAACACTTACATTTTAAAGCTAAAAGCATTTTTAATTGATGAATTATTCTAAAAAGACACAAATTAACTAAAATGTACGATAGCGGCATCGTGAAAAAATATCACGTAAGTATAATAGAAAATGACTAATACAGACTGGTGTCTTAAAAGCTTGACAAACAAGCCATGTTCGACTGTATTGTTAAAAGAGCTCTGAATTTGCCGTGCCTTTTTTGGCCGATAGTATGACCACGACAAATTTTATATATATATACACGCCAGTATTTAAGCCGCGACGCGACGTGGTGGAATGCAAATCGAAGAAAGCAAGAGTGTAGACGCGTGTCGAATGCTAAATACGCTAATCGACACCGCGGCTTAAATGCTCTGACAGAAAAAATCGCAGGTGAAAAGAGCTGCCTCGAAATATTCCTACAATGAAAATAATTATTCGTATTTGCTAAGGATATTTGCAGAATACCAGGCTTGTTTCACTTGACAAAGATATTTCCAAAATATTAGTAATCATTTTTTGTGCATATCAGTAAAATTTTTTTATTAATTTTATCACAATTTTTTAAATTCCGAACGAAAATTTAACAAAACTTCAATCAGTTAATACAAAATGATATAACAGTGCTTATATATAATAAAAATCTTTATCAACATTTTTTTTACTGTATATATCTAAAGAAATTTTATTCCCACATTAATTTTTTTCCTTCTATCTTCTTCAAAAGATCGTTCGATGAGGTTAATGTTATCTTAATTGTTAATTAAGATACCTTCCTTAATTAATTATTAAGATAACATTAACCTCATCGAACGATATCTTGAAGAAGATACAAGGAAGAAAAAATTAATAAGGGAATAAAAGCCAATAGTGCTATTTTTAGACATATACAGTAAAAAAACCTTGATAAAGATTTTTATATAAAGCACTGCTATATCATTTTTGTAATAACTGATTGAAATTTTGTTAAATTTTTGTTCGGAATTAAAAAAATTGTTACAGAATCTACAATAAAGAAAATATAATTGATATGCACAAAAAATGATTACTAATATTTTGGAAATATCTTTTAATATATCAGAGAAATACACTGTACTGTTATCAAGAATTAAAGTTGTCAATGACAGTTACGATAATCAAACTATAAGTCGTATATTTGCCAGTTGCGCAAACTCAGATTACCGAAGCGAGTATCTGATGATAAGTATCACTTTAATAAAGATACGAATCTCGCGTAATTAGATATTGTGATCGGATATTGTGGCATTTAAGGTGTATTGTAGGCCCATCAAAGGAGAAATTACAACATATGTGTCGTAACCGGTCGCGTAAATTTGATAAGAAAGTACGATTAACTCATAAAATTATACGTTAATTTTTACATTCTGGACCGAAACAGTTCCGCATGCGTTACTGTGATCCGCGCGCAAATGTGTTACTGCATCTAAGTACGCAGTTCACACTTTTGCACGCGCGTAAAATTAAATGGACGAATCATTCAAATCGTATAATTTTTAGAACAAGATTGATCCAATGGGAATCTCATATCCCGTACACTACGGCGGTGTACGAAAACAACCGATAATTCCTGACAACGTCCCGTTTCCTTGCAACGTGCATTTTAGCAGGTATAACTATATGTAATTGAAAATAATAATTTTTGAAGAAGCGCAATGCTTGCAAATTAATAATAATGCCTATTTCCTTTCCGCTCTCTTTTCTCTTTCTTCTTATACGATTTTCTACATAAATATAAGTATATAATTATATATGTTTTTAATGTACATAAAGTTAAAAGAATATTGCAATTTGAATTTTAATATTTTAACATTTGATATTTGAATTTTTATGTTGGCAATAAATATAATTTAAAGCAAGTCCTCGCGTTTAATGATAAATATAGGAATCAAATACCTATGATTTCAAAGAATTTAAGTAGTTAAACTTTTCTTTCGTGCTTTTCCGTGATTATAGATCCTTGTCAATACCAGACAGCGTTCATCGATTGAGACCGGGAGACATCGACGTGATAGGTGGTCTCGGTGACTCCTTAGTCGCCGGAAGCGGCGCGTTGGAGGAATTCGCTGTAGGAACCTTCATTGAGGCGCGCGGAGTCAGTTGGTGCGTCGGGGGTCAAGGGGATTGGAGACGATTCTTCACGCTTCCCAACGTTTTAAAGGTACGCCATATAGCGTCAGAAATATCTCAAAGTCGTCTTATTCCTCACGTTGCATCGGTCTTTCATCACGTATACAAAGAATAAGTGCAAAAATTCTGCAGGAGTGAACATCCGTTCTTTTTTTGCTTCGGCACTCTGTATTCTGCAATGTTTCGCGCGTAACAAAAACCTGGATAACCTTCGTTGTTGCAGATATTCAATCCGAAATTAACAGGCTACTCCACCGGAACGGGAGAGTTCATCTCGACCGCGGCGAAACTGAACATTGCCTTTCCGGTCGCTGCTACGGAGGACGCGTTGCAGCAGGCGAGAATCCTGGTGCAGAGAATTAAAAATGACCCAAAGATAAACGTGAAGAAGCATTGGAAGGTACGTATATGATCCTCGATAATCATACTTATCGCCACGATGAGAGAAACTTCGAAAAGAATCTCCTTTGACTTTAATTAATTGCATTTCTTTCATCAGCTCATTACGATCCTATTTGGGGCTAACGACATTTGTTCGGCGCAATGTTACGATCCGCAGCAATTCTCGCCGCTGCGTTACATCCTGCACTTACGAAGGACGCTGGATTTCTTGAGGATCGCGCTGCCCCGCACGCTAGTCAATCTGGTTCCAGCCATAGGTGATAAATTAATTAACATTCGACTGAGAATTTTTTTACCGCACCCATGCGTGTATTTATATTTATTTATTATCTCTCGGCAGATGTCACGGTCTCGGTTAGGGTGACGCGAAGTACCATGTGCAATATATTGCATCCACTTTACTGCGGCTGCATGCACAAGGGTAGTCGACCGGAAATCGCAGCGTCGAAAATGTCGCGACTCTATCAGCAGGCCGCCGAAACATTAGTCTACTCAGGAAGGTAACAGTCGATGTTCAATAAGCAATTAAATGTATCTTATTTAATCAATAAGATTGGAGTAACGAGTGGCTCAGTGTCCGAGCACATTGATTCGTAATCGGCGTCTCGGGTGCGAGCACCTCACTCTCATCTACTCCATATACCTATGCTTCGATTTTACGAGGTTTATTAGAAATGTAACATATTCTATGCCATAATTAAAAAGGCAAAATTTGACATTTTTAATGTATAATATAAAGAATATACAATTATATAGTAATTGTATATAATTGTACATATATATTCTTTATGTTATGCATTATAGAGATGTCAAATTTCGCCTTTTGCATACGGGTTATAAATTAGTTAATCAACAAGATTAAAATAAATTAAAAGTTATTTGGGAGAAGAGTTAAGGAGCCAAAGCGGGATGTTTCTGTTTACGTAAATGTTCATATACATATATATGAACATTTATATAAACAGAAACATTCCGGCTTTGGCTCCTTATTCTTTAGCTTTTTCCTGATTAATTTTTATTTTAGAATCTATCATATTCGAGAAAAGTTTTTCATTATGTTCAATATATTACTCTGTCACATCGTTTACGATACGTTATATTTTTATCTATTCGTGTTAATAAAATTGTTTCGCTTTACAGATACGATAACTCCCCGGATTTTACCGTGGTGTTACAGCCATTTATTAAATTATTCAATGCACCTAATGCGGATCCTAATCATGCTCCGCCGATCGACTCCAGTCTGGTCACATATGACTGTTTCCACTTCAGTCAGAAAGGACACGCACTCGGTAAAGCACAATTATTTTTATCGTATTATACGTATTTAAATGCACGTTCCCTTTCACCGAAATAACAACTTAAATTGATATTGCAAATAATGTGTATTAATTATAATAACGTTGTTATTACGGCATTTATCGCCTGAACGACGCCTGTTGATATCGGAAAGAATGTCGTAAATGTTGAAACGGTTGCATTTTATTAGGGGAATGAATGCTTGTGCGTGGTGTGTATGTGTACGCGTGTGTAAGAGAGAAAGAGGGAGACAGAGACACACAGAGAGAGAGAGAGAGAGAGAGAGAGAGAAATTTACAATATAAATAAAATTGATGACTACAATTAATAAAAATTCTTTCCATTGTATACTGAAATTTATTCATTTTAGAGATAATAGATTGACTGAAGATAAATTACTATTAATTTATAAACTGTAATTTACATAATTTATCATTAAAATTTTATTGTAATAAGATTTTAATAATATATTATGTAAATAATTTTAAAATAATAATTAATAAATGACTAAAATATCTTATTATTAAAATTAATGGTGGTATAAATTGTAAGATTTTTTTTTAATTTTATGGATTATTTAAAGCTTTGAATTTTTTCCATTTCTGTGGAAATTGACAAAAGTTATTAAGACTGATAAATAACTGATTAATAACACCTGTAATAAATCGAGAGAAAGAGAGAGACACAATGTACATCAGAGAACATTATTTTAATTTTATTAAAATATTGTTTAGGACATTATTTAAAATTTTAAATTTTTCCATTTCATGCAAATTAAAAAAAAATTAATATTAACTAATATTAATAACATAAAAATTAATATTAATAATATTAATACAAATGATTAATGCAATGTCAGAGGCACATGCATATGTATTTATATATTTATATTCATATTCATAGATGCATTCCGATATTATAATATGACAATATAGACAACATTTAAGAATTAATTGGTTCTTACGTAACAATTCTATCTCAGACAGTGTGTTAGTTCGAAATCAGCACATAAGACATCTTAAAGTCGATTTATATCCCGATTTTAGACATATGTACTGTTTAGGATGTCATACGTATTTACGCGAAGGTTAATTCGTTAATAATTATTTACCGTTTAAATAGGCAGTTAAAAACAAATCATTTGAATAACGCCAATAAAATAATCGCCAGTCCCTTGCAGCTGGCTTCGTCGTAAACGCGAGCGCGTGTTCATTAGCGGGCGTGGATGGTTAAAAGATATCATTAAATGCCTCTTAGCGCAGTGTCAACAAGAGTCATGGTGAAAGAGAACGTCATACACGCCACTGTTAGCGGATATTGTCGTTTTTACGCGAAAATAAACAGATCAAACGACGCGCTAAGTATTCTCGCTTCCTCTGCGTATAAAATAAATTCGCCTCCATTTTCAGGCGCTAATCTTTTGTGGAACAATATGCTGGAGCCGGTCGGAAATAAGACGGAAAAGGGATTGCCTAGAATATTGGAGAAGGTACTCTGCCCCACGGAGAACGCGCCCTACATCTTCACGAACGTTAACTCGCGATTCTTCCGAATGACTGGCAGGCAAGATGGAATTGTGCCTAGATAACATAAGGCTCGATAGTAATCGATCCTAATTGACGAGATAAATTATTATGAAAGAACTTAATATATAATAAATGCAATGAAATTATCCGGGACATTCGTTATCGATGTTATTATTATTTGTTATGTGCGTAAAACTGCGCGTGAAAATATATATATTTCTAAAAATAATATAAATAATATCAAAATATAATAAGAATATAGTTTTAAATGTAAATTAAGAATTTATACATGTTTGCATAATTGGTGTACGAATAATTGACGTTCTATTGTAATATTATAGATAACGATTAAATGTACTCGTTATTTTCTTCGTATATTTTCAGAAAAATGTAATTTTGCACGATCTGACGATATTGGCATTTCGTGAAATATTTAGGCAAATATAATTTGATGTATAAACAATTACTAATCAACTGTTTGAAATAAAGTAGATTTAAAAAAAAGATTTCGATAAAGAATACATTATTAATACTAATTTATCCAAACAAATCTGTGAAAAGGTAATATGTACTTTTGTATTTTTTATACATGGCGTTTTAAACGCATTGAGAAAGATTTTCGTAAATGTATACATTGAGTTAGAAAATAGGGTGCAAAGTTTATTTGCGCCATTCTTATATATTCTTCTCCGAAGAATCGCATTCCTGATCGCGCAGACAATTTGCATTACTTTTTTGTGGGAGGTGTATTTATTGGACGAAATATAAAATTTATATCCTAGGACAAGTCCCAAGTCCACGTGAATTAGACTTTGAACAGAATGCCTACAATAAGCGGGGTCTAAAGTCCCCAGTATACATCTCGCGAAATATCCAGTTAATAATATATTACAAGTGGAATTTCGAGCTATATGTAGATATGCGTCACATCAGGAAGTATCCGATTTGCATACCCGCCCAGGAGATTTTCCAGTATTAATTCATCTGAACGTTTCTCTCATTGTGACAAGTATATCACTAAAAACTGAGCGATCAAAAGTTAGATTCGAGTGTTATTTCTGTTACTTAGCTATTTTAAATATCTTTACGATTAAAAGATTATAAATTTATAATATATTATTATAGTGATAATTATAATGAAAAGAACTTTTTCAGGGAAAGGATAATTAATATTTCTAATAAAAAGATTATTTAACTTTTTTTTATCTCGCACTTTTATTTTGCGATTAATGAGCCACGTCAAGATCCGATGAATTTCTCGATTAAAGTAATTGATCTATTTTTAGAAGATTGATGCACTTTTTGTTGTATGTAAGTTTCATATTTTTCATGCTTAAGGCCGTTTCCACCATTTCGCGGAAGTTGTCCACTTCCTTATTGTTTCACGGTTACTCGAGCCTTCGAACGGAAGAAGCTGGCGGATTACTCAATCCGTCTCACGTGAAAACGAAGTTTTTTTTTAAGTATCGTCGAGAATTCTCGTCAAACTTTCGGAGCGAAACTTTATTTATGTTTCCTTATCCCGCGCCAACTCGACCGATATCGAGATAATAAAGTTTACGCCGCCGTCGACAAATCAATATGTCTTTCTCAATCTGTTTGACCCTGATCGACATGACCGAAACGCAGTTATAAACTGCGTATATATATATTTTTTTTTACGTGCGCGGTAACCACACTAAACTTTCTCGCGCAAACAGAAATTATGGAATCCCGTAAAATTTCGCGTGCTCCTGAAAGCTCTTTAAATAAAAAAAATATGGAACGTCGGACGATTTTACGAGCAGTTTTACCTGTGTGTATATATATATATATATATATAATACAACGGCGCCGCTCGAGAAAAGAGAACGTCAAGGCTCGGGCTGTTGCATGATCTCCGAAGAACTTGGCCCTGGTTGCGAGATGCCGATAATTAAGCGACTTTAATCGTCTGGTACACGGTTTCGTTACGAAATCGTCGGTTATTCACCTGCCTCGTTCGAGTCAGGTATTTCATTGCTCGGCACAACTTCCTCTTCTCAACTTTTTCTCGATTCGATTAATTTACTATTACCGTTCGAGTCGGCGAGAAAAAAGTAGGTATTTCCCGCGCGTATTTTCTTATTGCGCAATTTGTATTAGCTATAAATCTAGCCGATAATGTATTATCTTATATAGACTAAATATTCGCTCGTGTGAGAGTGTGATGAGCTTTTTTACGGAGTGGAAGAGCGACGATAACGACAAACTGTAAATAAGAGCATCTAAAGCGATAGCGCGTAGAAAGAGCAGGACCTGCTGTATTACGTTATATAAGCTTTTTAAGAGAGTTCTTTTAAGAAAGTTCATAGAATTATCATCACTACGTATAAAAGAAAGTGTAAAGAATAATAATTATTGCTTTTTTATTCTATTCATAAATCGACAACACATACACACGTCCAATTTATCTAGTTTTTTTTGTATATAAGATAATTCTAAGCCTATCTATCGTATTCTAAGTTAAAAAAATTGTATTTCTTTTAATATATTCTTTTTTTTACGTCAAGATATTAAAAAGTTTTTAGTTACTGCTAATTTAAAAGTCAAACACACTTTTCAAAATACACTTTCACTAAAAGAAATCAGTTGCGATTAAGTCGAGGAATAGGATGACCTATTTTAGAATTTTCTCGTGTAGCGTCATTTGAAAAATATGTGGAACAACATGTAAATCTCGAGAGTCGACTTTTCACGTATAAAAAAAATCACGCGCGCGTGCGTATGTGTGTGTTAAGGGAATCCGTTACACCGGCAGAAAACTATACCGGGAATGTGTATGTGATGCCGGATTGCACCATAAGTGGCGTGCATTGCGGCAAGGCGTTAATATAAGTGGATGGTAATCTCGGTCCCATCTTCGTGATCATCAGGAAGAATTGAATCTCCTGCGGGCGAGTGGGAGAAATCTCTTCGCGCGCGCAAGAAGAACAAGAGAAACGAATCAAACGCGACGAAACGGCAAGAAAGCATCGTCAACTCCTTTCTCCATGATTTTCGATTGCATTTGCAAACATCTCATTCATCTCATCTCACTTTACACTAGTAAACTAGTTACTTTATCCACATTTGACGTATCGCTGAGAAATCTACTGTTATTTCATTCATAATTCCCCTTCGTTGATTAAACGATGGATGGACTGGTTTTAACCGGATTTAGTAGGTTAATCATCTAAAGCTTTCGAAGATTTCGACATTTCAGATGCTGTATTCGTATTTTCGGCGCGAAAAAAAAACTGAATAAAGTGAAAACTAAACAAAAAACACTGTTATGCTTAAAGATTACGATTATCTCATTCTCTGGCAATACTCAAAAATTAAAGTATTAATGTAAATTTAATGTAAAAGAAGATCTTGCGGAATATTGAAATGCATTCGCGGACGTCCAGTAAAGATATCATGAAATGTTTAATTGTAACATGCAATATTATAGAAATAAAAAAATTATACAGTCTAATACCTGCATTCTGAGTCTGTGCTCGAGAAATCGATTGTAAATATTCCTTCTAAAATATATTTCTTATATCTTTACAGATACTACATGCTCAGATTGCATACAGTAAAAAAAAGACGTAAATTTCCCTATGAATAAAGAAACTTTATAACAAACATCGTCAAATTACGCAAATTGCATTTATGTAGAATACTGCTTATGTATAATACATAGCAATAATAAGCCTCATGTTGGAAACTTACTGTTATTAATGACTTGGAATTAATGTTTCATTAAATGTACATTTATCGTTCATTATACGTCAGTATAGGAATTTTCTTTACAATTAGAATTCGGATCGAGCAGAATTATCTCGAGATAATTCCTCGGAAATTTTCCAGAAAAACAATCAGTCATGTTGTAATAATAGTGTGTTTAACTCCGAAATAGACTTTTTTCTTGACATTCATTAATTTAGAAAACAAAATTATGATAATAAAATAAAATAAAATATAAAATAAAATAAAATAAAATAAAATACTTTTAATATTTCTTACTTTAATTTTTGTCATTTAATTACTATATTTTAATTTTTTTATATGTTTAATCAAATCGTAGAATAAGTTTTAAATTAACGCGTGCTGGCTACATTGTAATAATTATATTATACTGTCAGATTTAGAGATACATAGATTTTATTTACATATTTTATGAACACAGAATTAGATATGTTACGTGAAGAAAAGTCAGAAGCTATTGTTAAAGAATAATCATTTGTTCTGGAAAAATCCTTAAGAGAGACTTAGAAGAGATTTCAATTGTAAATTTCATATTACATAAGAGCATATAAAGAGCGCAATTAATGGTCGCATTGATTGATTGTCATCAGTTTTGATTGATTGCCATAATTTTTTTGTCTTTACGATGATAATCGTAAGACGCAATCAAAAGTTCTAGACGATTATTCGTGAGTAATTGATCGCCGTATGTTATATAATTAATTGCTTTCAAATTGGCTTCTACTGTTGTTCTTTGTTAAGAGAAATTCAGACCAAGCGAGCGAGCGCGAACGAGCATGAAATGAGCAGCCTGCTCCAACGAGTGCGAACGGCATTCGTCAAAGTTATTCATTAGAATCTATTCACGCTCATTTATTCGATCTAGATCCGACTTTATAGGAACATTGCGTGTATAACATTGCACTGTTTTTCTTCTTTACACGATAAGAAATCTCATCGCGTGCATAATGTGCAGAATATTGTTAAACGTTTTGAATAGATTTAAATAATTCAACAATTAACATGCTGTATAATCAGGTATATTCTCCATACGTCAATTGCTTGCAAAAAAATTTATGAGAAATCCCAACAAGATAGAACAATATAATCGAGATTATCTAATCATTAAGATAATTAATTAGAATACATTCATCGAAAGATAATGATCAAATGCGTCTGTCGACACCTAGACTTTTTCTACCAAAGATTTTAAAAACGTGTAATGCTGATTGCTGATATTTCCTACGCGTCTATATATAATCGAGGTGTGTTTCATCGAGGAGAAAATTCAGCGAAAGCACTTCCGAAATCTGAATCTCACGGCAGATCTCGATTTCGTTAAATCACGGATCACGAGCGCGAGAAACGTCAACGAAACATGATTAATATATACACTTTCAAGAAGTAAATCCGGAAGTAGGGGTGCACTACGCGGTGAATACCTAATTGATTTTAGCTCACTTTTAGCCGCGCTACGCTTTGTGGCGTGAAATTATTCGCTGCAAAAATAACACGTCGAACATCATGAATAATTTATCCCGACTATCGGCCATATCGTATCGTCTAAAAATACCTGCAGCTGGCTCTACATGAAGTCTAATTTCGGTTAATATATACTACAATTTTTCATCGCCAGACTACGTAATTATCTTTATGAGATACAAATGTATGGTATTAACTTAACTTTTGGAAATACATATACGGATAATTTCAAAAATAACTTGGGGAGAGAGAAATGCTCAGGTTAACTCGGGTTATACCGAATTATCATG